ACTATAAACACTTACCTATCTGTGCATCTCAACAACCAGTAGAGTCAAGTGGTTTGATATAAGGATAGTTCACTGTCTACATCTTTGAAGTGTATTTTTGAAGAAACAACATTGTATTCCTGAGATGCAGCTTCAAGTAGCAAGTTAAGGTTCCCTTCATAAACCCAGATACGTACATCCAAGTGTTATTTTAGAGATACCGCAATGGGTGGGATAAGAATTCAAAAACATATTAAATTTAGAGAAGGAAAAATCTCAAACTCTGATGACTAACCACTATAAACTTCTCTCACAAGTTCAGGTCAGCCTTTATCAGCCATTGAGGCTAAAGAAAACACGGCTCCTACTTTTTCTTAAATTTCACAATTGTGCAGAGCAAGCTGTAGAGTTCTACCACGTTGCATTGCTGTCACTAGCTACGCAGACCCACTGAAACGTAAGCTCTGTGAGGACATAGGCTTGTTTAGAATTGAGTTGTCACAGGTTTAGCTTAGAACAGTTTGTGACTCATAAAGGAAGGGCCACCTGGGGACTGTCCCATCTCAAGCTTCATCCTATCTCCAGACACCAAACCCAACACTGTTGCCGTGGCCAAGAGGCACTTGCTAACAGGAACCTGGTATGACTGCTCCTTGGGAGGTTCAGCCAGCAACTGACCAATGCAGATGGTTGGAGCCAACCATCAGACTGAGCTCAGAGACCCTGGTGGGGGAGCTGGTAGAAGGACTGGAGGGGCTGAGGGGGATTGCAACCCTATACGAAGAACGTCAGCTGGCTGGACCACCCAGTGCACCCAGGGACTAGACCAGCAACCAAGGAGTGTATAGGAAGGGATCCAAGGCTCCAGATACATATGTATCAGAAAATGGCCTTGTCTAACATTGGGAGGAGAGGCCCTTGGTCCTGTGGAGGTTTGATGCCCCAGTGTAGGGAGATCCTGGAGGGGTAGGGCAGGAGAAGGTGGATGGATGAGGGAGCACCCTCATGGAGGCAAAGAGGAGAGAGGAGAAGGAGGCTGTGGGTTGGGGAAGTTATGGAGGGGTAACTGGGAAGTCGGATATCATTTGAGATGTAAATGAATGAAATGATTAATAAAAGATGTTTTAAATAAAATAAAAATCTCTGTAGGATCTTAACTCAGGGTCACAGTTCAGTTTCTAAATCTGGACCATGGCCCTGGTTTGCCAGTTCTGGGGCATATGCTCATTTAACTATCCCTGTCTGACTGAAAAAAAAAGTTCTGGAGTGAGTGACAGATGGTGGAAAGAAGCCATGCCTAGGAGGGCACTAGAGCTCCTTCACACACTCACACACTGATCACTGACAATAATCAGTGTGTACAACGCTGGGTTATGACGTGCCCTGGACTTCCTAAGCCAGCAGGACAAAGAGCAGAACACTCACATATATTGAAACAAGAGCATGTGTGCACGTACACACACTACAGACAGAGCCCAGAGAATCAGGGAGGGGTAAAAACCACTTGAAAGAGGGAATAATCTTCTTCATGAAGATGACCTTGTTAAGTGTTCATCTAAAACAAGCTGCCTCCTGCCTAGGGACTGACAGCATATGAAGAGACTACTGTGAACAGTTTATGTGGAAAGAATACCAAGAGGTGGCATCATCCTGATACACAGACAGACTCTAACAGCACATTTAGCAGGAAAAGATGGGAAAACAGAGATCTAAGGTTTAAATTGCATCCATTCTTAAAGGCATTTCTTAATACAAAGAATTGCTACTTTTTACCCACGACATTTCAATCTCACATGGAACAAGGTCTTGGAAAGTCTCTAAGGACTTAGGGCTAAAGCTCCTACAGGGGAAGGAGGAAGAAATAAAGGAGTTAGTTTTTGAAATAATCACTTAAATGGGCCCAATTTATAAAACCGAATCAACTAACAGTTCCCTGTTTTCTGCTATGATATGTCTAGTGGGGGGACATGATCACTGCTGGAAAGACACAAATGAAGATGGTGCCCCGGTACTGCCCCCAGCAGCTTTTCCTTTGTATACGAAAAGAACCACACAAGCATTGTCACCTGATGGTTTCAATGCGTGGACGAAATAAGAGTAGTGACAGAGAAATAGCAACATACATTGATAGAGATTCCTTGGGATGCAATCAGACCGGTCAGTGCTGTCCAGCAGACACATGGCTAGACTCTGTGAGGGGCTATGGTTCCCAGGGAAGATATAAAAACATGTACAAATCTACCTCAGTGTTATCAAGTTGATAGGGCACCATAACCCCGCTCTGAACAAAGTAGACGGGGATATACCTCAGTGTGGCAAAGGATAGAAGAGTACCATAGTCCAGACTGAATGGATTGCTCAGCTCTGTTTCACAGTATAAAGTGGGAGAGACATTAATACAGGTTATGCACTACCACTCCCCGGCTCCCACCCAGAGGGAGATAAAACTCCTTATACATTCAACACCCCTATCTGAAAAAGCAACTTGAAATCACATAGTCTTTTTGCCAGCATGGTTTTTCCCAACCATTTTTTGGGGGAAAGTAGCTTTGATGAGACTGAATGAAGAGAGGAAGATACAGGATGGCTTTGATGAATTAAGTGGCAATATTCTTTCCTGCAGAAAACATATTTACAAATACCACCTATGGTTGCTGAGTCCTCTAGCCTACCTGACATGGAGAATATTTTCAAATTCTACAGCGGTTATCCAAATCTACTGATAATCCCAAAACCTACGTACACTATTGGTTCTCCCCCTATACACAGTAAGGCTAGAATTTGACTTACAAATCAAGTGTGGTAAGATATTAACTGTCATTATTAGTAATATATTTAATAAAGAGTTGGGTGAATCTGATACTTCTCAAAATATTTTATTCTAATTGATCACACTAGGTGGGACATGGAAAGGAAACTGTCATCAAAGGAGCAAACTAACACATCATCAATACTTTTGACTCCTCTTTGTATCCTTGGGGGGGTCATAAAAACCCAAGTAAGGGAATGTGAGGGAACAAGCCAATGTAATGTGGTCAGCATTAGCCTTGGAACAAGATTTACTTAAAAGCAACAGTAGGCAAGTGACCTAGTTTCTCAAAGCCTTGCCACATTGTATATGATAATTATGAAGTCAGTCAAACTCTTAGGGTAGAGTCCGAGATCCAGGGTGGGGTCGGCATGTGTCAATCATTGCGCCTGCCACCATTAATTGCTTGCCTTGCCAGTGTCTTTCAAGTGATTAACTCATAATGATCCATGGATATTTTAAACTATGCTCACAATGTTAAAATACTACAGACAGGACTGTAATCATTGTGTTGTCTTAATAATTAATACAGCCGGGCTGGTGAGATGGCTCAGCGGTTAACAGTACTGACTGCTCTTCTGGAGGTCCTGAGTTCAAATCCCAGCAACCACATGGTGGCTTACAACCATCTGTAATGAGATCTGATGCCCTCTTATGGGGTGTCTGAAGACAGCTATAGTGTACTTACATATAGTAAATGAATAAAAATCTTTAAAAAAAAAAAAATAATTAATACAGCCTTACATCATTTTCTGCTTAATAACATGCTAGTTTTTCTACTAGAGAAGGCAAAGATGAATTCATTCCTTGTTTGGTTGCACATGGTATGAAGGCACCTGTTGGCAGAGCAGCCCACTACAGGTCAGTCCCTGTGAATGAATACGTGTGGTGTATCTCTACAGCTAATCAATGTCCATGACACTCCTTGGATATTGTGTTCATTTAACAGCAATTTTGTTGCTACAGAAAACACAAGAAGTGGAGGATGCTGAACTACACCCTTGCTTACCCCATCCTTTGAAATATCCCAAATGCTGTCTGGGTGTTTCTGTTAACATATTTCGTTTTTGTCTCTACAACCTTTGGCTCCAATTTGATCTTACTAGTGGATAGCTTTCATGCCTTGAAAGCAGGGTCAAGCTCTAGAGTTACAACATGTATGTAGGGCATGTCTCAGTCCATAAAGAGAAAAAAATCTTTATGGACAAAATACATTTCTAATTGCCATAGACAACATATGTTTGATGCAGCCGATAGCTCAGCATAATTATATTGCCTTGGGGGTATGCTGATATAAACAGTATGTGTGTCAGATATCTAATATTTTGTTCATAAATTCCTAATTATGCAGATTGAATGTGGAAAGAGAAATCCAGTAGTTTCCACACATTGCAGCATCAAATAGAAAGTAAAACTTAACTATATAGGTTATATATGTAGATAATATGATTTTCTACTCTACCACATTAATTCAAGAAACTATTAACCTCCCTAGAATGCAAAAATCTATAGTGTGAAGAAAAATGGGGCGTATGTGTGAGACCACTACTTTGTATACCCTTTAATTTTTCTTAAATATATTAAAAGGAAGGAAAACCAGTGTTTTTAGGTTTTGGAGGAGTTTTTGTTGTGTTGTTTTGTTTTGTTTTCGAATGTGCAGACACCTTCCTGTGTCTATAGAAAAAGCAAATGCCTCTACTATCACTGTGTGAAGCAACACCCAGGAGCCAAGGACATCTTGAGTTCTTCACTTTAACCAGAGCTCCAGCTTTGGAATTCCCAGGATACAAATTGAACACTCTCTGTTAATTTTATAAAATATACAACATAAACAACAGCCCACATTCTAGGCCCCAAAACTCATCTTAACAAAGTTTTTTTTAAATATGCAAATCTTAAAATACTCTCAGGCCAGTAGAATTAAACTAGAATCAACAGAAAAGTCAAGTGTACAATCCAAAGATACATGATGACTAAGCCACATATTCCTAACAACCCAAGCCTAAGGAAAAAAAAATCCTAAGGGCAATCTAAGCATATTTTTAGATACATTAAAATTAAAACATCACTTACTAAGACTAAGGGGATAGCATAAAAACATTTTACAGAATACAATCCCATTCACAACAACTCACAGTAAGCTAAGAGAAGGAACATTTCCCCCAGCATATCTATTGATAGTACAGCAACCTATTAAATCATAAGACCTTGGTTAGTTTCTTGAGCATAAATTATGACTTTAATTTTGGAAATCAAGACATAAAGTGTATGCCCTCAGGAAATTAGCAGTTACATCAGAATTTGAGTCATATAACCAAGTTGCAATGTTTCCGTGGACAAGGCATCTTCTATGGAGTCCTTTAAATTTAACACTCTCACTTAAACAGCCGTTGTGGACCTACAATAACAGATAGACATTGTCATTTACTCTGGCAAGGTTACCAGACCTTACTGTGCCTTGATTTTACATTGTTAGCTTTCAATATTATTGTTCTGTTTTGTCACTTGTTCCTACAAGTGACAGTTCCAACATTCTATCAAGTCAAAAAAAAATGCCATTGCTTTGAGCTGAAATTCATAAAGTTATAGGATGCACACGAGGTGTGATGTGCTTATTTATTGAATAAGAAAATAAATTGAAAATGAATACAGAGACTGAAGTGGTCACCTCCTATAGCCAGACAGGACTTCCAGTGAAGGAAGAGGGACGCCAACCCACCCACAAAACCTTCAACCCAAAATTAGACATGCCTACAAGTTGTGCAGGGATAAAGAAGGGGCAGAGACGGAGGGAACGGACAACCAATTACTGCCCCAACTTGAGACCCAACCTGTATGAGAGACTTAACTCTTGATACTATTGATGATACTCTGTTATTCTTACAGACAGGAACCTAGCATAACTATCTACTGAGAGGTTTCATCCTGGAGCATATACAAAGAGATTCACAGCTCACAACGAAGCATCAGGCAAAACCTAGAGAATCTTGTGGAAGAGTAGGAGATGGGGTTGAGCACACATGAGGGCTCAAGGATACCACAAGAAGACCTACAGAGTCAGCTAACCTGTCCCTATAGGGGTTCACAGAGAGTGAACCATCAACCCAAGAGCACATAGGTGAAGGATCTAGGTCCCCTACACATTTGTAGCAGATGTGCAGTTTGGTCTTCATGTGAGTTCCCTAACAATTGAAGAAGGAGTTGTCTTGGTCTCCACTTCCTGCCATTGGATCCGTTTCCCCTACCTGGACTACCTAGCTGGGCCTCAGTGGAAGAGGGTGTGCCTAGTCCTGTTGAGACTAGATGTCCCAGGGCAGGAATACCCAAGGAGGCTTGCCATTCTCTAAGGAGATGAGGAAGAAGTAATGGGGGGAAGGGATTTGTATGTGCAACTGTTAGGCATTTGGTTGGTCCGTCCAAAGTTGGCCAATATGAGAAATCGGGTGTCGTTAGACCAGGTTTGGGGGATCTTCTCTGTAACTTTTAATATTCTACCCAATCTTCTTGCATCTTGTCCAACTCTGAAGCTATGCCCAACAGAAAGCAAGTGGAAGCAGCCACAGCTGCTCAGAACAGCTGAGCAACCACACATGCACTGAGCAGTACAATTCCACAGACCGCTACACCACTGAGTGCCCTCCAGGTTCACACAGTTCATCGTAATCTTCTAAAATGACTGCTGCTGCTGCTCACGTAGTGTTCTCGGAAAATTACAAAGCCGCCAACTTATTTTCTTGCCTTTAAAATCCTATTGCCCATTTCCCTAAGGTGACAGCCTATAATATCTTAAATCTGCTATGAAGCACATTTCCAATATGCATTAAGTTAGTACTTTCCTCACTTTAACTTGGATAGCTTTTTAGAAAGTAAGTAAGGGATTTCCCATCCTCATTAATATCATTTCTGATTAATGACTCTATTTCGTTTGAGGTTCTTTACTGGCAAAAGACCCATCACTTTTGGGGGAAAAAAAACTTACACTATTTTAGTTCAAATTCTGTTCCTTGTTATTTGTCATTTAAAGAGAGACAAAAATTCCCTAAAATTTTGAGAACACTAGTTTCTTTCCCTACATGGATAAAACAAAAATAAGCCAATCGCAATTTTCAAGTTTGTAACGTAAGCATTGACCACACACATATTTCTTGATTAAGAATTATGTTCAAAATGTATTGCCTTCAAGGATCAAGAAAGGGCTCAATGATTAAAAGTGTATACTGCTCTTATAGAAGACAAAAGTTCAGCTCCCAGCACCCCTATAACTACTGACTCTCCAGCTCCAGGGGGATCTGATAGCCTCTTCTGGCTTCAAGTAGGTATCTATACAAACATGCACACACACACACACACACACACACACAAATTTATGAAAGAAAACAAATGTTCTGCTTTATAATTTCAACCACACCAGGTTCACCAACACATTACTTATCATCCCAGAAGCTTTAAATTTTTGAGGCTTTTTTTTTCTTTCCTCAGACTCTCAAGTTCAAATCTAGTGATATTCAGCTAAATTAAGCTTCATTCCAGAAAGGCTCACGTTTTACTCTTTGCCTACACTGGGTTGGGGGGGGGTGTGAAGTGAGCACGCTGAAAGGTTAGGATGCCACAGGAGAATTTGAGTACTAATGACATTTACCCCCATACTTCATGAAGATGTGTTGGGTCAGTTCATTTCCAGATGTCTTCTCTTCCTTCTGTAGAAAAATGCAGAAGCATCCTTTTAGCCAAGTATTTAACCACTGAAAAGAAAAGTCATTTCTTATCTCTCCTTGGAGCTAGGTGGGGCATGTAAGGCCAGGCCATGTACACAGAACACTCTCATGTAATTTCCAGGAAGAGAAGGTTGTCCCTCCTCCCTCTGTAGGCTTTCATAAACTGGAATCGGGATGGTACCCGAGCCTATTGCCTAGTCATCTGGGTCCTAGCCTAAATGACTAGACTGTAAACAAACATGTGACCATGATTTAAGCTAAGACATATGCTTACATAGAATGTAGGTATGAATGGATCCTATGTCAATGCAAAGCAGAAAGCAGAAACTTTCTCCAGGTACATCTTACAAATATGTTGTTTGGAATATATTGTTCACATATATTTCAAACTATAATTCAAATTGCTATTAGATAATAAATTGGTCATCAGGAAAATGTATTACCATAGATGAAATATCTAAACAATGCTTGTGCCATTTTTTTTCACACGCAAAAATGGTCTTTACCCCACACAGAGCTTAGTGTTCACTACACAGCACAATAATCTTTTAAGATTTATCTTTATTTATATGTGTATGTAGGAGGGTGCACATACATAGTCATACATGCAAGTATCTCCAATAGCCAGAAGAGTGAGCCCCTGGAGCTAGAGTTACAGATGTTTGTGAGCTGTCAGATGTAGGTCCTAGGACCCGAACTCCAGTACTCTTGAGAGAGCAGCAAAGGATCTTAACTGCTGAGCCACCTCTCCAAACTCTCAATCAGCTGTTCTCAACCTGTGGGTCACAACCCCTTTGGGGATTGCATACCAGATATCCCACTTATCAGATCTTCACATTACGATTCACAACAGTAGCAAAAGTACAGTTATAACATAGCTATGAAATAATTTTATGTTTTGGGGGGTCACCACAACATGAGGAACTGTATTAAAGGGTCACAGCATCAGGAAGGTTGAGAACCACTAACCTAGACAGTAATCTGAAGTGTGTACAAGAGAGAGGCTCGTGATACATTGGTACCAAATGCAGCTACCAATAACCTGGACATCCAATGCTCTGTGGCTCTTCTTCCATTAGAACTCTTCTTCACAAGGGATAAGTCAATCTGCACTTGTATTTGATTGAGGCTGAATCAATCTGCACTCAAATTTTACTGAGACTGTGTTAGATGTTGATACAGGAAGGAACTGGTGACATTGAAAAGTCTAAAGGAACTAGCTGGATCAGATACAGCAGAGCCACAGGTCAAACGAAAGGCAAGAGACACTCGTACCATGAGCTTGAGTGGTGAGAGTTGTCGAGCCATCTGTTGCCATTAACCTCAATGGTATATAGTGCCACAGTCCTCATCTCTCTGCCTTACACTAATAACAAGTTTGAGCTCAAAGGGATGCCTTGTTCATTTCCTCTAGCGCTTTATCCAGTATGCTGTGGAATGCATTTTTTTTCCTAAAGCAAATAATCGTTGAATGAGTCACAAAGTGCACAGATGTGCGTGAGTCCAAATTTAAGGGGAAAAAAAAATCTATGAAGTAGCTGGCAAAGAAGAATCGAAGTTACGAGCCAGGAATCAGATGGCATCCCATTGCTCAGCACACGCTGTCTTGTTTATCCCCACCAACTAACTATCCACGAGCTCATCCCGCCCTCCATTCTGAGAGAAGAAAAACAAGAGCTGGAGTAAGGACTTTCATTACTTGGATCTCTTTAGGTGATTTCTACAGGTATTGCCCAATCCAGATATCACAATACACACAAGTGCTCATTAGAAGTGGATGATATTAAAGTCTAAGAGTTTGGTGCTGCCGCAAAGAGAGCTGGATTGTATATCGCAGACCCTCCATCTCTTTCATAATTTGCAATCAGTAAAGTCTTGGCTGCCAAGCACGAGGACCTGAGTTTTAGTCTCCCCACCCCGAACTCAGCTTGAAGAAAAGTAGGGTGTGGTGCACGCTTGTAATCTCGGTGCTGTGGAAGAGGATACATGCAGGTCCCTGGGGTTTTACTGGCTAGCCAGAATAGTCTACTTGGTGGGTTCTCTCAGTGAGAGAGCCTCTCTCAAAAGACAAGGTGGATAGCATCTGGGAAAGACAGTGAAAGATGACCTCTGGCTCCTGCATACACACAGGCACGCTTACACACACACACACACACACACACACACACACGCCTGTACTCATAGAGAGGGCAGGAATTAAGAGGGAGGAAAACATGATCCAACATAGGATTATGACTCTCTCTATCCTCACACAGGCCTCCAAAATCACAATCCCTCTTCCATCTCAAATCAGAAGACCACTAAAAGCAAACACAAGTAACCAGACCAATCCCTGAATGATACTTGAAAGGACTAATTTAAGAAGTTTAAGGCCAGCTGTGTGAATCATGTAGCACTGCCCACAGGGTTTCAAGACTGGACAATAAGACTAAATTTCAATATGACTGAAAGATATAATTAAATAGATGATTTCACCAACCGCTTGGCTAATACAGAAAGGAAATCACTTTCCTTCTAGGAAACATTCAAAATATCCAAGTAAGTTAGAAAAATGGGAAGGATTCTTTTAAAATAGATGAAAAGATAATCTATCGAAAAGCTTAATAGTTAAGACTTACTACTGACTTATTGGTGTTATGCTGTATTTGTCTATTGTATAGTTTCCACTTTGGAAGGAGCATTCCCACCGATAGCAAACCCATTGAAACAGTACCCTCTGGGTAGTAATGAGCCCAGACAGTGTCCACAGGGTAGGAATCTGGGATCTGCTTTTGCTCTGTGTCTGAAAAATGTCATTAAATTTTCTCTACCATGATCATATATGAAGTGATAAAAACGAAGGTAAATAGTCCATACAATGTTAGGAGAATTGCTTGAGTTATGATGTGCAAAGGTTTTGGAGCAAGACGCGGTATATATTGATCCATCAGTCATTTTCAGTGATTTCTACAGTTATTGCTCAATCCAGATAACGGTCAGAGTACACACAGGTGCTCGTTAGAAATTAATGACATTAAAGCGTAGGAGTTTGGTGCTGCCACAAAAGGAGCTAGCTTGGATACCACAATTCCTCCATCTCTTTCAGATTTCGCTGTATAGAAAAGGAAGGGAAAAGGAGAGGATCCAGTTTAGAATTGTTGGTGAGAGATTCAAACGTTGAAGTGTTGTCTGAACAAGGAACTAACTCCTCGATCACTTTGCATTTCTGATGAAATCAAGCCTCTGGCTTCCTTTTGGAATCAATCACTTTAGAGACAAGTCAGGGTACAGAGATTGAGCAATATGTCAGATAAACCACCCGTTGGTTTGTTGAGTTCTGTATCCAAATGCTATTCCTCACCATCCCTGTGCGCCCTCACCCAGCCAGGGGTGGAAAGATTTGGAATACACTGTCCTTTCTCTGATACTATAGCGTTACCAACTTATCTTCCACATTGCATCAAATTATCACAGGGAAACCCTCGTGAGTCAAGCGAATTCACTCATGGGGATTGCCAGCAGACCAGTTAAACTCTTTGACACAGAGAGAAGCTCCTTCCCTCTGTTTGAGAGCTCCTCATTGGCTAACAGCCTAAGTTCCAGTGTACTTTAGTTCATCAGTTTGGGCTGATGACAATGGATTAGAGAAAGTGTTTCTTTCAAGAATATCCTGGCATAATTTTAGGAGAAACTAGATGTGCAAGATGCAATTTATGCTTTATAAAATATAGCCAAGGTTGTTCTTGCTTTATTATACAGATAATCAAAGTATGTCTCCTGTCCCACTGTGTCTCAGTCTTAATTAGAGTTTCCATTGCTGAGAAGAGACACCATGACAAATAAAACTCTATTATTATTATTATTATTATTATTATTATTATTACTCACTTTACATCCTGTTCACTGTCCCCCCTCCCAGCCCCCTCTTCCCACAATCTTTTTCTCCATCCTCCCTCCCCTTCTCCTCTGAGCACGTGGGGGCCCCAAAGGAACTCTTATAAAAGGACATTTAATTGGAGCTAGCTTACAGTTTCAGAGGTTCAGCCCATTATCATCATGGTGGGAAGCATGGATGTGTGCAAGCAGACATGGTGCTGGAGGATCCAAGAGTTCTGTATCTTGATCCAAAGGCAGCAGCAGGAGACTGGCTTCCATAGGCAGCCAGGAGGAGGGTCTCTCTTGACACTGGATGGAGATTGAGCATAGAAGCTCAAAGCCCATCTGCATAATAAAACACATCCTCCAACAAGGCCACACCTACTCCAACAAGGCCACACCTACTCCAACAAGGCCACACCTACTCCAATATTGCCACACCTCTTAATGGTGCCACTCCCTGGGCCAAGCATATTCAAACCACCACAAAGAGTAAGTCAGAGTTACAGGGGTGTTGTTACAGTCTAAGATACTGAGGTAAAAACTAATTGGCCAGAGTAGTACAGCTCTCTGGCACATCCTGCAGTTCACAAGGAACATATACAACAGAGCCATAAGGTCTTTGCAGAAAACTATGGAGGGTTTTTTAGCCTTACGGATGGTGGCGAGCATACGCCTGGTAGGACTTCTCAGCAGCACCCAGCAGCATCTAAAGCAGACATGTGTTCTTGTAGGTAGTGAAGAAATGCATGCATCCCTGACCACTTTTCTTCCTCCTAGCCTCTGAGCTGAAACCTAGCCTGTCTTCATCATTACCACCACAACATCACCACAGACAATCAAGCTGTCCCACAAGAACACTACAACTTCCTTTCTGATAGATTTTGGTGTGTAGGTACAAGGCATGGAGTTTTGGGAGACAGGAGACTGCTTGTGTCATAGAGACGGGGGAATCGTTCTTCCCAGAGAACACATCTGCCTCTTAAAATAAAAAACAGCCAGAAACCCACCTCACGGATAGGAAAAGGTGCTTCAAATAACTAGACAAAGCAAAGTTCTCAGTTTAATCTAGCCTCTTACTTCCCCTTACTAGACATCTTCATTGAGCTGAGAACAAGAAGCCAATG